GGTATTCCGTAGGTATTCCGTCGCAAATCCGTCGGTAATATTTACCCACGAGCGTTTATGCTACGGCCCATTTTCCGTCGCAATTCCGTAGGTAACACCTTATACCTACGGAATACCTACGGATTTTTCCGTAGGTATTATCAGATTTTCTAGTAGTGATTACAAGTTTACAACATTTTCTTTTTCCCAGATGCCGAACCTCATTTCGCTTGGCTTTCTAAAATTCGACGATAAAAATTACGTATTTTCTCAATTCCAATCTTACATCCATTGTTTCTACACAATTTAAAAGACCACATTGCCCTTCACACAACCTCTATATGGAAAACTCATTTATGGCTTGTGCTCTTCTAGAATGATCCCCGGGGGCAACGGTCCCAAACCACCGCCCGTTCTGCTAGTGCCAGGTGTATTTCTTCGGGCCCGTCTTTTGGTGGGCATGACCAAACTCCCATCATCATAGTGATCTTCATAATCCTCATCCTTGAAAACAGGATGCAAGTAAGCTTTCTCAAGGTACCCTTTTAGATTCCCTTTTAGATTCGGTTCCCTTACTTGGTCAAGAGTGTCCTTATTCATAGCTTCCTGAAAACCAGACAAAAAGGCATTATGCTACAAATCAAAACGGGCCTTTGACCAAATTTTGACTGAATAAAAGTTAGTTTGGTGTGCACCTGTAAAGGGTATCTTGTAAACGCGGGTTCAAACCGGCCTTTACAATAGATATGAAACCCGATAGTGAGAATTGGAAGTGCAAGGAGAACTGGGGTGGAAGCAACAGCATGTTTTGTACTCAACAAACCCATTAAAAGTATTTGTGATATAATCAAGGCTGTGATCACGCGTCCATGGACATCAGGCCAAAAAGCCGCTCGGCTTTCGTATTTTGGGTTGTATACGTTTATTATCTGCATATTAGCGTAAACATCTTAGCTAAATTTTATAGGACAGATTATATATGGAGAATAGAAACCTACTTTGCTCTCACTAGGGCAATGTAGTTTATTTTGTACCCATATAAGAACATACTAACATTTCTTTACTGAAAATAGCAATGTACTAACATTTCTTTACTGAAAATAGAAATGTACTTATGTGCTACCCAAATTGCAACGTACTTATATTTCACTACCAGCATGGCCAATTTACTTTATTTTTACTCATAATAGCATCATACTTATATATTTGTACCGAGGGTAGCAATGTAGTTTTTGTATAACACATAATAGCTATGTACATGTAGCTTTCACGTATAATAACAACGTACATACACATAATAACAAAATACTTATAACTTTTACCCAAAATAGCAATGTACTTATATGCGCTACCAATATAGGCATTGTACTTTATGATCTTTATCCTTTAGCTTAATTTAATGTAGATTGTTATTTGCTCATAATAGTTATGTACTTATAGCTTTTTACCCATAATTTAATTTATCGATATGAGCAATGTAATTTATTTGTTAGATATTGCTTTTATCGGTAAAAAAATGTAAGTATGTTGCTATTATGAGTAGGGAAACGTAAGGCCATTGCTATTATAGGTTACATATCGCTATTATCACTAAAAATAAATATGTTGCCATTATGAGTAAGGATATGTATTACCTGATGACGGTAGATAACAAATGCTAGGCAGAAGAAAACCAAGATAAACGGAATTAGAAGCGGTGTCACAACAGCATAAACAAGACCAATGAGGAAATAGAATTGTATTTGGGGTTCTCCAGTGTTGAAACCAATACTTCCAGGATTCATAGCCTTCTCTCGATCTCTTTCGGTTTTAACTAAAAAAAGGTTCTTCAAGTGATAGATTATTAACGCCTTCAACCGTAAAATCTCTCCAGCAGTACCACTCCATCCATCAACCATTATATACGTTATAAAGAATGTTGCTTTCATCGGAATCGCGATTCCAATCGTCTCCGGAATCCTACACACCACCCATGAAAAAAAAATTGTAAAACGAAGAAAATTTGGTAATTCAACTGAAAAGTTGGATTAATTTTATCATACCGATTTGCTGACTGATGTAGAAATGTATTGAGTTGTTCGAATGCAGCCCCGGTGATAATGCTACCGAGAAAGACGTTTACAATTTTGAAAAGATAATATCTTGATGCGGATCTTCTCTCGAGTCGCGATATACTAAAATATCCTTCAAATTTTGACATCAACATCAAGAGTCTTGGTAGTAGCATGAGGAAGATCTTCAACATGATTCCCGGTAGAAAACCTTGGATAAATGACTTGATTGGTTTGCTGCATAAACATTTTGTATTCAGATGGTTCTTTCCATTCGGTCCAAAAAAGGAAACCGGCTTTATGCATGCAAGACTTACTCCATACAAAGTTACAAACATAAAAGAAACATGCCTAATTAAGGTGTTGTTTCTTTTTTACTAATTAATAGATTTAATGGGAAAACGACTTAAAAGGGGTACGACTATATATGCAGATGTTTCTTTTTTACTTAATGCACAATTAATGACTTAAAGAGAAAATCAGGAAAATAATTAAGAGTTTTAACTTTTTACAAATTTCCGTTTACTTATATTTTCCTCCCATTTCCCCAATTGTGCCTTCATTTTCTCATACATTTGTTAAACATTATTCATCCCGACAACAGTTTCTCAATATAGCAAGAAATGGCAAAATAGAAACACTAACACTTTCTCAAAATAGCATGAAATGGCAAAATAGAAACACGAACGTAAGCTATATACAAGTTTTTTTTACTTAATGAAGAAAATAAGATTCAATTAAAAAAAAGTTAGAAAAATGATGTTTTCCCATTAATCCTAACTCCTTATAAATTTTCGGTGCAATTATTTCTTGTCATTTCCCCAAATGTGCCATCATTGTCATAACATTCTATTTTTGTTCCTATTTATCCTCCTATCCATGTCAAATGGTGACAAGTATCTTAAAATATTTTTAATTTTATTAAAATGTGATACTTGTCACCATTTGACATGTGATACTTGTCACCATTTGACACGGATGGGAGGAAAAGTAAGAACAAAAGTTAGGAGGATATTTAATTTCTTGTTGTAAATATTTTTGAAGTATCTTATATCTAGTATTGTCTCCTATAAATCAGTTAAGTAAAAGGAAACAACACCTTACAATTAAAACAAGTGAACTAGCTAGGGCGTAGAACTTACACATCGATTATAGGTTTAAGGAATGGTACAGCCTTCTCGATGCCTTCAATGTTTGCAAGTGATTGCACAAATGTGATCGGGATCATAAAAAAGAAAGTGAGAAAAAAGAACGCGACACCCATTAAAACCTTCCGGATGGTCAAAGAGACGTAAGGTATCGCGAGGTTTTTCCAGTATACGTCACGTGGCTCGGGAGCCCAATCGGTCAACCACAAAGTCGGGTTTCTAGCTTGTTGTGTTTGAGCACAAACAGCGGCTCCCCAACGAGTTTTGAAGGAGACAAAGGCCGCTGGCATGATCGCTTTTGGGTTATTCACCACATTTTTTCTCTCTTCGGCTATCTGGATGCAAAAATAGTTACAAGGTGTTTGACTATTAGTCAAATGTTTTAAATACCCTTCAATAACGGAAATTACTAGCTAGTATGGTTTTATTTTATTTTTTGTTCTTAGGGTTAGAATGCAAGAAATATTAATGTACTTTCATTGATTTGTTTATTATATAATCCTACTTAAATTTCTTTATATTACAACGTTGTACAATGAAAATCTACCTGTTTATAGCAGTGTCATTCAAATATAAAGCAATTTTCACCATTATAATTAGGTAAAATTTTCAAAGTATGATGTCCTAATAATAAGTTTTGAGAGTGCTTACATTGTGTAGATTTAATAAGAAAAAATTTATAAGTATTATGCTTCCATAGAAAGAACAAGAAGTAGGATGCTATATTGCACAAATAAAGAAAAGTAAGTTGTTATTTCTTCCATTTAGCCTTTGATTTTACGAAGGCTTAACGAATAAAATGTCTTGCTAACATATGATCTCATAAAAGATTAAGGATGGACGATTACTTCGTTTGAAAGTTTCTCAATTTCTGCTTCGTGATACTCAATAGCATCAACTTTTGCTCCCCAAAATCCATGAAAACCAGTCTATTAATCAAAAAAGAGAATTTAAAATAACTTTGTTATATAACTAGTATTTTAATATATATAAAAAAAAGGACTCCCAGACACAAAAAATGAAAATGTCTCGAGAGACATATAAACGAAAATACCTTCATCTTTGGTCGTTTTAACGGATTCTTTGAGAACTTAATCTGGTAGTAATCGAGCCAGTTTTGTTTCTTTTGTTTCTTCTTAACCAGTTTTGCAAGCTTGTTTGCATTACAAACGACCTGAAAATCATTTATATTTTACTGATAATGGGTAAAACCATAAAAATAGGTCAAAATAAAAGGTGCAAATGGTTTAAAAGTCGTCCAAAGTATACTCAAGTGTTTCAAAGTTCAAACTCTTAAATTGATTTGGTCAAGATTGATCATTGTTTTCATGACATTTTTTGTAATCAAATTAACATATAAATTATAAACAAAAATCAAAAGAATGTTTGTGCTAAAAGTCTACATGTTTTACCATAATCCATTTCGACCAGATCAAAGATCAAACACGTGTTTCATCAGCATTTTTTCTTTGGTGTCAATGCATATATGAGAATGTATATATGGGGCTAGGTTCAAATATAAATGATATCTATTGTATGAATATGTAGCTGATCATGAACCAATAATTTTCAAGGAAAATAACTATATTTTAGGCAAGTTAGTCAAAATCCTGATTTTAGGGGATTGATTAATTTAAAAAAAAAAATAATTGATTAAATTAGTTAATTTACCGTCATGCCCCTAAAATGTTTGATCCACAATGAGTTATCCAGTCATACCATATGGGGTGCTTTACATATAATCTTAACTCTAGGTGAATATATACAAATAACCGAGCTAAACCTGATGGGTGAGATAGTTATCGTGATGGTTCACTAAAAAAAAGTGTTGTACAGTCTCGCTGAGTGTCTCATCAGCATCTCGCGGAACGTTCTTCACAAGAACCTGCAGACGATCATTTTTTTCTCATTAAGTGTTGTCTGGATAACTGATTTCTAAAAAAAATATGTGAAAAAGAAAAAGACGCATGCTTGGGTAAATGGAAGGAAACAATAAATGAGTGTAAATCTATTGACTCATTCTTATCAGATTAAATTTTGTCTCCATGAAATTGAAAAAACAAAAAAGGTAACATCTTACCGTAAATTGATCAGCTCGGGGTTTTTCTGATTGAAGAAAGTAAAACCGCATATTTGCAATTGTCTCATACTCCTTTTTCAACATAAAGCACGTCCAAATCGTAACAATGTATGCCATTGCTACATGAGCCCAAAACCTACAAATTGTTACATAAACAAGAAGCATTTAACATTAAAGTTGTATATGTTGCAAGGAGCAAGATAGGAACCGGTGGGATAAAAAGTTGCATTTTTGTCCTATTACATCGGTCACAGTCTTGGTCCAAATAACATCAGATGCAGTACAACACGTGATATATTGTTATGTCATGTCCAGTGTAACAAACAATCCACATAACATAGGTAAGATTTTCATGCCTTGGAGATCCATGCGGGATGTTAGATATAGAAAGCTTATCAATTTGACTAAAAGTTTCTTTAGAGCGCTCAAGTGTGTTGTTTGTCCAATTAACCGGTATTAAAATAGCCCACGTTAGCAAGAATATGGGAACAAATATTTTTAACCTGCACACACAACAAGAAAAAAAGAAAATTTAAATATCGTCTTACAATTTCTTCTAACTTATCTTCTTACCAATGTTAAATGATGACAAGTGGATTAAAACATTATTAAGAAAATATGTGACACATGTCATCAATGTCATCATTTGATATGGGTAGAAGATGGTAGGAAGAAATTGTAGGAGGATATTTAATTTCTCAAATATTATATACCAACTTCTAATACCCAAATCTGAATATAAGATTTTTCAAAAGAGAAAAAAACACTATATATCAAAATTATCAACACGTGGTATACCAAAAATACCCTCATATTGCAAACAATTTAAAGAGTAAAGTAACATACCCTAACAAATAAATCCTCAAATACACAGCCGAATCTAAACCGGCATGATCAATGAGCTCGGATTCAGGCATTGTTAGTGCATCAGGCACCCAATTAAGAAACTTTATATATGATCGATAATCCAAATTAACAAACTTTTTTACAAATGCCCCTGAGGCTGTACGGCTTGTTCTTAAACCCTTGATATACCATTTTGGAAAGTATACTCTATCATTCACAGGTTGAAGGCGTAGGATAGCAAAAGCTATAAGGAAAACGAATGCACTAATGATATTTATTGCTGCTGCTACCCCAATATCCCCAAATGTAGCCATCTACACTTTCTTGAACCTGTTCAAGTCAATAAATATGAACATAAATTATTGTTGCGACCTCAAGAATCAAAATCAGATAATAAGAATTCAAGAAAAAACTTACTTTTTAATTTAGCAAGTATATATTCAAAGCTCCATTGCAGTATTTCATGCCATTGAAGACAACCTAACAAAATATATGAAGGGAGAGAAAGAGAAAGAGAGAAAGCCATACGAGAGAGTAGTGACAGAGATTGCTTCAGAGTTGAATCAAAGCTAAGAACATTCCCCATTTCTGTAAGTAGGAAAACTGCAGAAAAGCATGCTTTGTATGCAAACAACATTATTTAATTAGTTAATTAAATTTGTTGTTATTGTTAAGAAGATTGGAGATTGGGAGAACGAAGAGTACATGAAAGTATATGGTTAACGACTTACGTTGGTGGCTTCTTTTTGGTTTTTTATTTAATTATTTTTTGATATAACGACTATCAATTTGAGGTTATAACTTATAATAATTAAGTGAAACTAGTTATTTAAATATTATGAATTAAAATCATGATAAGGAAGCATTTCCATTACGAAATATCAATATAACAGCATATATATTTTATTATTTAAAAATTCAAAAATTATTTCTTCACCTATTATTATTATATTTTTAAAGATTATTACAAACTTACATTTGTTATTATTACTGGAAAAAATTAATGTGTATAAAAATAATTAACTTTGCTTGAAATGCAATATTATATAATGGAATGGAATGGAAGAAAGGAATCTACACATAAATGGGTTTTTGACTTTTGTGCCCCTTCTTTTTAAGTTTTTATGATAATTGTATTTTACCTTTTTGTTGTTTCTAAAATTTCTTAATGCATACCAAATGCCATCTAAAATGTATTATTATATGTAAAAACTCATAAATGGTTTGGTTTTATAGAATTGAATTACTTTTGTAATCATATTATTTATGTAGTCAACATATTAAATAGTTATAATCTTCAAAAAAATGTTACCTGGTTACCCCAACACAATTTATCCATTTAATCACATCATGTCTAGCAAGTGTAGTAACTTTCATTCAATTTTTATAATTAGTAAACGTGTTTAACAATTTTAGCATAAAACTATATTAAGTATATATTAATAGTATTCTCGACTTCTCTTGTTTTTTTAAAGAAAAATTGTAAATATCATTTTTATTAGAATAATAGATTAAAATAATTTATTGTTTACTTATACAATTATATCATCCTTACGTATTGTTTTTATATCTCAAATTGTATTCATTGTTTTTCTTATTAACATATTCGTAAAAATATATGTTTAAGTTTATAACTATATAAAAATGGTTGATTCGTACACAACAATTTTTTTCAATACACAACCATTTGTGTTTTAAAATGTTGTATTCACTCTATAGAATATAAATTTATTTTGTATGAAGAAAAATTATTTTGTACAAATCACTTTCTATATAGAAAACTTCCATACTTAAAATATGAAAAATCAACTTGTTAGCAACTATTAACCTTTGTTTAATAAATAGATCTTATATTTAATTATAAACTTATATTATATGTCATTAAACTTACTTTTGGAGTATAGATTCCTAAAATAAAAGACGTGAAGAGTTGAAGTACATTCAGCAATTTGCTTTAAAAGATAAATTTCAAATAAAAAGTATATTTGAATTGATTCTTTTCCACGTTCCACTAAAAAGCCTAATGGTCCTTGTTTGAGGTAAAACCCAGATCTACATACTCCAATATCTTGGCCCAATACAAACTATCTAAAAACTCGGCCCCATTAGGCCTGGGGATGTTGCTAGGGGTGAACAAACCGGTTTTTTTTCAAACCGAACCGGTTCAGTAAATTGGTTCGGTTCAGATTCGTGAATAGTAAAACCGGTTCAGCCATAAACCGGTTCGGTTCAAACTGGTTCCATCATAGAAAAACTCGAACCTATCTAAACCGGTTACACCGGTTCTAAACCGATTCAATCGGTTCTAAATCGGTTCGATCGATTTGACTACCGGTTCACGGTTATTAAACTGGTTCTAAACCGGTTTCAATATCTAAAATCTCGAACGGGTGCGAACCAGCGGTTCGGTTCTTGAATCGGTTTGGTTCATAGTGGACCGGTTCGTAGTGAACCGGTTTACCGGTTCAGTGACCGGTTAGGATCCTGAACCGGTTTTTTTGTGCAAGCCTAGATGTTGCCAAAGCAATATTGCTGAGGTGGCCTCGGTACAGACCGTCTCTCTTTGGCGACCAACTTCCGATATGGTCAATTTGGCGACCAACTTCCGATCTCTCGCCCCTCTTTAGCTTGTGGACCAGCCATTCAATGGCTACTTTTCTTTTTTTTTTTTCAATTTCAAAACTCTATAGATACTAAACCTTACAACTATTTTACACCATACCAACATTTTTTTCTTCCTTCACTCTAAAAATGTCTTTAGCTTCATCTTCATCTTCATCTTTTGGAGCATTTTTAACTTGGTGCTACAAATGACAATGGAGGTTGTTTAAATGATGGAACACAAGATTTAGGAACTATGGAAGAGATATGCCGAAAATGCGAGGTGGAAAAAAAGAAAATATTCTAGTAATGAAAAATGTTTTAAAAAATGTTAAATTAAATTATGAAAAAATGTAGCAAACCACCCCTTAAATTGCAAAATTTTAATGTGGTGTGACGAAAATGACAGTGAGGTCTAGCTAGCACTAAAAATAATTTTGGCAAAAGTGGCAGCATATAACTTTTTATATATTTTTTATTTTATGGTTTTTATTATGGTAGACATTGTAGAGGTTTGCAAACCACAAATCTGATTTATTATAAGATTCGAGCCATGCTCAAACGTATTACATGTTGAATATATATATATATATATATATA